TAGAGATCCTGAGTGGACAGGGCGCGTATCAGAGAAAACCGCAACCAAAAGTCAACCCTAAATCCCAAACCCTAAACTCTAAAGCCCTAAAACCCTAAACCCTATAGACCCTATGGTGTGCAAAATCTACTCACAATCTGGGGATCGCTGCGGCGCGGCATGGGGACCAAAGGTCTCCTCCGCGAGGATGACAGAGACGATGGTCAGAAGCACGCAGCTGTAGCAAATCGATGGGAACCGAATCCAGCGCTTGCGGAAAAGGAATGCGTAGAAGGCCAGCACGTAGAAGGGCCCGAAAAACAGCACATCCCACCAGATGGTGACTTTCCACCAGGTGGGTCGGGCCATCAGAAGTGGGTCGTAGTTCTTGCCATACCAGTGGATGAGGTCGACCATGATTGGTGGTGGCCAGAAGGGGTACTGAAAGTTTCCCGGGTCAGCAATAATGATTTGCTCGATGTCGACAATATACGTGATAAAGGGAAAGTTGAACAGGAAGAACACCATCATGCACGCATCCAACCCACGATCGGGTGGTAAGGTAGCACTCCCCTTGCCCAGCAAGGCTACAACGCGGCGCATGGTGAACGCCAGAGTCATGATGGGAAGCACAGAACCTGCACTCCCTCCGTAGAACCCAGAAAACAAGAATTTCACTGAATGCCTCCTTGGGATTTCGGTTGGGATTTGGTACAAACAAAACTGCACTAAATAGACTATTGGTGGGGTACTATTTAGAAATGATCATTTTTGCTCCTGGTTGGGTTTAAGTATTCATACACATGTAATCCCCTCCCCCCAAGACTTCTGAAATCTGAAGCCTGGGAGAGAAGGAGAGAGTATAATAGGGATTGGGGTTCAGGGTTCAGTTAGGGTTGCCTTAAGCCCTAAACCCTAATTAAACCCTCTAAGCCTCGAGCCCTAAACCCTGCAAATCCTCTGAGCCTTAAGCCCTAAACCTAATTGAAACCCTAATGGCTCAACTCAAGGGCGGAGGCCCTCGACCCCCCCCCCCCAACTCTCAAACAGGTTTAGTATTGGGCTGGGTGCCGGGTCAAAATTAGGGTGGGGTCTAGTATGAGGGGGAGGGGATTAAAATGATGTTCAACAATGACCCAGCAAAAAACAGTGATTCCGAAGCAGAGCAAAGGCACAGAGTGCAGCGATGCAATACAGTACTTTCTCCATCCACGGCTCGGCGGCCATTGCGAGGTCAAACTCCCAATGTCACACAAGAAGCCCTAAACCCTAAACCCGAAACCCTAAACCCTAAACCCCTCTCTTCTCGCCCGGAGCCTACAAATTCTCACACCGGATCCGAGTCTCTTGGTGCCAGGGGTGTAAGGCGATATAAGGCTTGGGGCTTGTGGTTTAGGTTGGGATGTTCCCCCCTTATACTAACAGCCCTCAATCGGGAATCTCATAGGGGGTACTACAATCCCTATTGTGGGCTGCTAGCATACGGGGGAGCATCCCAAGGCTTAGGGGGGATCAGTCCTCACACAGACGCCTAGGATCCCCTCAAGGGTTCCGAAGAATGACCGAAGAGTGGTATAAGGTACTGGTTCTACTTTTTGGATCCGCCCAGGGGTCTGGGAACCTGATCCTGTGCTTTGACTGCTGGCTTCCGCACAAAGTCCCAGCTCTTGGGGCTTGTGGGGTGCCCTAAGCGCTGGGGCTTTCAGGCTTGAGGCCTTTGGAAGCGTAAGCTAACCCTAAACCCTAAACCCTAAACCCTAAACCCTAAACCCTGAACCCTAAACCCTAAAGCTTGGGCTCTGAAGTGTTCGCGTGTTTGGTAATGGGGGCTCCGAGATCAGGTCTTGGGCCGTTTCTTTGCATTGGCTGCCCCGATTCATAGCTCTGTGCCGGCATTCAGGGTGAACGAGGGTTACCCGAAACCCTGAATGCCAAGCCCTAAACCCTAACCCTAAACCCTAGACAGTTTAGGGCTTGGAGATTTCTATATGCCTTGGACTCTTAGACGACTCCTGCGCACAAACACGGTTTCGGGCACTGCTACTGCTTCTTCTTCTTTTTCTTCTTCTACTGCAACTGCTGCTACTACTACTGCTGCTACTGCTGCTGCTACTACTACTACTACTACTACTACTACTACTACTACAACTCCTCCTCCTCCTCCTCCTCCTACTACTACTACTACTACTACTACTACTACTACTACTACTACTACTACGACGGTTCCTGTTGCTGGTTTGGCCTGTAAACCCTTTGTAAAAAGATATAGGGTCCCTTAGAAACCAAAATACAGAAAGATGCTTAAATACACCAAAGGCCAACTAGATTACCACCAGTACTGGCACCTGAAAGACACCTCTTGGTGCATTCACTTTTCGCTAGTCTGAAACAGCTCAGTTAGACACGGGCACCGTTACAAACTCTCTGTGACCTCGTCGGAGTTGAATTCCAAGAGGTAGATGTGTGGACTCGGGTCCTGCAAGATGGACCGGATCGTCTCCGAGGTGACCATATTCATGGGTCGCACACCTGTGTTGCCTGCAATCTCCGGGCTTGCTCGCGCCCGCAGCAGAAATGCCAGGAGGCCTTGGTTGTCCAGAAGCGCAGACCAACCAACCTAAAGGTGTCGGTGTCGTACTGGCGTGGCTGAAGAACTTGACAATGGAACTCGCGTCACTTCTGCACCGGACATATGCCCGGCACATCAACCCCAGCATCCTCCATAGGCCTTCAGGCTGCACGACTTGGTTGAGATCTGCTTTGTGATCAAGCAACAGCTGAGCGTTCCGGAGATCGTTCTTGGAATCACCGCTGTATGCAACCTAGCTTGGCCCGAAACAAATCCTCTGAAAGGTATTCCTAAATATGACGCTCTTAAACCCAAAAGAAGGGGGGGTGGGGGGAATGAAAAATGTCCAAATATAGGGGCCTGGATAATTAGAATAGGGTTTTTGGGGGGTTGTTTGAGTACATTCAGAAAGGGACCCTAAGGGAATACTCCTCGTAATTATTCCGATCCCCCATATCACCGAGCAACAAGGTGCAGGGGCGACGCGCTGGCCATCCCCCCTCTTCCACCGCGCACGTCCGCTCGAAGCTCGAGCAACTTCGCCGTCACTTCCACAGGAGAGCTGAAAGCTACAGCGAAGTGGAGGGGGCAATACTGGGAGCCTCGGCAGGCCAGCAGCCATGTTCATAAGAAGGGTGCCTGTGATTTTTTTTGGGTTCGTTTTACTTGATAAGGGCACCTTGAACCCTAAACCCTAAACCCTAAACCCTAAACCCTAAACCCTAAACCCTAAACCCTAAACCCTAAACCCTAAACGCTAACTAAACCCTTGAACCAACAAAAGAAAAACACGAAAGGGCACTCCTGGGGCAAAAAGGTGCGCTCCCTCCCTTGGAAGTTCACGCCGGCGCCGTTGCGCACCAGGAGATCCACGGCCTGCGCGGTTCTGCACTTACCTTGCTGGCCCACCGTGGTAGGGGTTTAGGGTTTAGGGTTTAGGGTTTAGGGTTTAGGGTTTAGGGTTTAGGGTTTAGGGTTTAGGGTTTAGGGTTTAGGGTTTAGGGTTTAGAATAGAAGGGGGGACCAGCGGGCTGCCAAGCTACCCAGAGGCGGGAAGGCATTGACGGTGGAGCTGTTGGGATCTGCTCGGAGCCTTGGTAACCATATGATAATAAGGGTACCCTTTCTAAAGGGTTGGTTAACCCCCAAGCCCTAAGCTCTAAATCCTAAACCCTCAAACAGGGAGCCTTGAACCAAGAAAAGGGAAAAAAGGGCGCCATGGGGGCTGCCAAGAAGCTCCAACAGGGTTTGCAACACGCGGAGATCGCGGCTCTTGAACCACAACACCAGATCCTTGGGGACGAAATGAACCCTAAAAGGGTTTATGGTTCATATACCTTAATAGGAATTATAGTAGAATAGGGTATATGACCCCAATTTTAGGGTTCATTTCGTCCCCAAGGATCCAGCGGTGTGTAGTCAGCAACATTCTGTGTCCCTGGCATGGCTGGCGCACGTGTGTTGATGGAAGCCTTTGCAGCCGCAACACTACGAACCAACGGTTCATCGCCTGCAAGGGCAGCACAGGCCACTGGACCCAGACCGTTGTACCGCTGCAGCGGCTTGGAAAAGAGGAACTCTGACGCAAATTCATCAACTCTGCGCAATTTCGGTGCAAGACCCGTCAGCTCTTCAAAAAGGGAAAGATACAACCGGTAGGCTGTCATGTTGCTTTGTTGCAGTTTGGCAACATAGGGTTTCATTGCTGCTTGAATGACACGACTGCAGGAAGCACGGTCGGCTTCTACGGCAAAATCCCCCGTGTGCACGGGATTTCGGTGCCAAAGTAGCGCGGTGAACCTGACCGAATCGGCACTCTTGACCTCGATGATGGGAGTTTTTGTTCGGGTAGACAGGTAGTAGCACCATAGTTCTGTCCGGCACCAGCCGCGTTGAAGCCAGCTGTGGGCGTCACAATGTACTCTTAAGTCTCGGTGCACGGCCTGCGGCACCAATGCAACGAAGGCGCTGCAGAGGTCAACATAACTCGGAATGCTGTTGATATACAAGAGCTGTTCTTCTGCATCTCCACGCACACAAGCCCGACCATCTGAGGCACACAGAAGTAGTCCAACCACATGTGCCACTTCCCAACTCCATCAAGGTCTTTCGTTGTCGCCTTGCCTTCGTTGTACTCGCTCCAGAGATCGGCCTGAATGGTCATCTGCTTCGCGATCAGCTTCTTCAGAACAAGTTGAAGCACGTTCAGTTGCTCGGCGTTTGGATCAGGATGGTGGAAGCCCAGCCACTGGTGTGAAACGAAAAGGGTGAACATGCTCATCCTCCAAACCTCCAGGAGGCCCTGGGCCTTCAACACCTGGTGAGGCTGCATAGTTCCTGTCATCTCAAGGACGTCCCTCACTTGAATGACCCACATGGGGGCGTGCTGGGGGTGCTCGCCTTGGCCCGCAGTTGAAAGGCGGAGCCTTGACTTACCTGAGCAAGCTCCCATGGCCTAAGAGCAGATCGGCCCATGGCAATCTGAGGTCACATGTGGCCATACTTCATTGCTTTCGATCCACTCGCCTGCACAATTCGTGATCAAGCCATGAGTTGAGTGCTTCGAAAGTAAACCAATCGTCTTTGGATCCAGGGCACGCCCCTGGACAAAGCACCACTGCCGTATCCGTGATGCCTAGAGATACCCAGAGGGTCCATTTGTAGCACAATTCTGGAATTAGGCACCCCACCACCCTACGGAGTATGGTTTTTGGGGTAACTCATTCCATAATAGTGCTTAGAAATAGACCCTCTAGGACAGCTTTAACATTGCGATCTGCTTTGCTGCCGGCTCCTTGTTGTCGGGGCTATGCTTGAGGAGCACCTCACAAGCACACCCCCCACTCTCCACCAAACCCTAAATCCCTAAAGCCCTAAACGGCCCTAAAGCCTAGATCCCCAAACCCCTAAAGCCCTGAAGCCTTGAAGCCCCAATGCCCCAGAAGCCTAGATTGAAACCCTCGGGCCTCGATACCGTGAACACCTCCGAACTGGCCCATCAAGGCTATACCCTCTTCCGAGAAAATGGCCTAGTCACTAACGCCCAGACCCAAGAGTAACCCCGGTTTGGATAAACAGGGGCTTCTGAGGGAATCTACGCCCCTAGCACAAGTGAACAAGGGCCTACTCTGGGTCCCAGGCCCTTCTAAACTCAATGCGACTTCATGAGGGAGCTTACACCCATGCTTCTGTATGACAGCTGGAGCAGGTGTAGGGACCGCACGTCCAAGTCCGCCTCACACTTTTCCCACAAGGAGAACGTGAAGAAGGCCTCTCTTCGGGGGTTGGGTTTAGGGTTTAGGTTTAGGGTTTAGGGTTTAGGGTTTAGGGTTTAGGGTTTAGGGTTTAGGGTTTAGGGTTTAGGGTTTAGGGTTTAGGGTTTAGGGTTTAGGGTTTAGGCTTAGGGTTTAGGGCTTCGGGATCTCCAGGTTTAGGACTCGACGCTTGTGCAACCTGCAATCGGGCTTTGACCACCCTAAACCCTAAACCCTAAACCCTAAACCCTAAACCCTAAACCCTAAACCCTAAACCCTAAACCCTAAACCCTAAACCCTAAACCCTAAACCCTAAACCCTAAACCGAACCCTAAACCCTAAACCCTGCGAGCCCCTAAAGAACCTTGAAATACCCCCACCCGGCCTGGGCTCTTCTGTACAAGGCCTTCTCATTGGTGGGCTGCTTGTCCAGGATCTTGTCTGTCAGATCCTTGACCTCCCAAGGGTTTAGGGTTTAGGGTTTAGGGTTTAGGGTTTAGGGCACTGGCCAGTTGTCACCGTGCCTCCATTCCTCGCAGTGGGGGTTTCCAGAAATCTTGGTACCCCTTTTGAGGGTCCTTAAGGGGATTCTATTCTATTTCGGGTGTAAAAAAGGAACCCCATATTGGGAAATACCCACATCACGTGCCTTGCCCCACTCACCGCGCTTGATGTGCAACTGTGCCAGGTTGTTCCTGCATCCATCGGACGGTAGGGCTTAGGGCTTAGGGCTTAGGGCTTAGGGCTTAGGGCTTAGGGCTTAGGGCTTAGGGCTTAGGGCTTAGGGCTTAGGGCTTAGGGCTTAGGGTTTAGGGTTTAGGGGTTAGCCCGACGGGTTCAGTTGCGGGGGTGGGTCTGCATCGTAATTGACAGGGTTTCGTGTTTTGGAGGCAGGAAAGAACAAGCATCGAGAGTCTGTTTTGGTGATTTGGATCGTCAGGATCCAGATTTCATGATGTTCGTCGTGAGGATGCAGCAAACCCTAAACCCTAAACCCTAAAACCGAAACCCCCTAGTTGTTGTTGGGGGTCTGAGCTAAAGCCCTGAACCCCAAATATCCCAAACCCCTGAACCCCATAAACCCATAACCACCGAAACCCTCAACCCTAAACGCCAAACCCCAAAACCCCTCAACCCTCAAACCCCTCAAACCCTGCAGCTCCCAGGCCCGGTTCGCTCCCTAAACCCTAAACCCTAAACCCTAAACCCTAAACCCTAAACCCTAAACCCTAAACCCTAAACCCTAAACCCTAAACCCTAAACCCGGTTCGCGCCTCAATGTGCAGAGCATGGCAAGGGCTTCCTCCGGAAGCTGTCCCAGAGCCAAGATCCTCAGCTCGAAAGGCGCATGTGAGTAGGGGGAGTTCGGGGTTTGGGGTTTGGGGGTTTGGGGGTTTAGAGTTTAGGGTTTAGGGTTTGGGGTTTAGGGTTTAGGGTTTGGGGAATAGAGCTACCAAGTAACCAGTAACCATGGAATGATGAGGGTGACTCTTTGCGGGGTTGGTTACTTTAGAAGGGAACCTTGAGCCAACAAAAGGGAAAAAGGGTACTACTGGGCTACCAATTTTAGTGGAGTTTAGCAGTTGGGGTTTCAGGGTTTGGTGTTTTGGGGCTCGTGGTTTAGGGTTTGGGATTTGGGGTTTGGGGTTCAGGGTTTGGGTCTTAGGGTTTTAGAGTTTGGGGTTGGGTTGGGAGGGTTTGGTGGGGTTTGGTGGGGCTTGGGCGGGTCTGGGGGGTTTGGGTGGGGTGGTTGGGGGGGGGGGGGGGAGCTTCAGAAGGTTTTGACTTCGGTTACAACTCCTTGAAGGCCGTACTTGGAGCTGAGCGCAGTTCCTTGGGAGCCGGGGCCCAGCACAGACTTTTGCTGACTTTGGGGGTTAGGCTTAGGTTAGGCACCAAACTGGCAATTCGCATAGGGACTGCCAGAGCCCGTCTTCTCTCGTTGCCGGTGGACAGCCCGGTGACGGCAGCCACACAAGGAGCTTTGAGTGTCACTGGTCGGCACTGGCTCACTGACGCACTGCTTGTTCTGGCATCAATTGGCCTTGACCAGACCCTTGGCGCTGATTGCTTCCTGCCTGTCCCAGGCTCTGACCCCCAAGCTGCGCGTCGGGCTGTCCTGAGGTGGAAGCGTGAAGTCTTGCTGCCTGCAGCTTACAGATATGAACGCAACTGGTTTCAATCTCAGATATCCGCTCATGATGCTTGGCCTTGGACCTTGCCGCATTGGGACAATAAGAATGCTCTGGATTTCTTGTCCAATCAGTGCTGGGGAAAGGCCATGTGGCGACACGCAAGGGCCTGGCTTCTTGCCCGCGCCAGCAATCTGCCGCCCTTTGCCGCACTTGGCAGAGCTGATCTAATGGGCACTGCGGCTTGTCCACTTTGTGGGAGCCATTGCTCGCTGGAGCATGTTCTGACCTGCGCTCTGGTCATTGAGATGGTGGGGCCTCCTCCGACATCGTGGCCTACTATCCTGGAGGCAGCTTCGGATGATGCGCCGGCCCGCATTAAGTGGGTTGGCCGTGCAATGGCTGCACTTGTGGCCAGTGTTTAAAAGTCCGCCCAGAGCTCAGTACTTGTGTAAGCTGCTGCTCCCGTCACTCCCGGCCCTCGTTGGCACAAGTGAGGGAACTGTGCTTGAGCTGCCTGCGGGCGCCCAAGATGACCCGCATTAGGGTCTCTACATTAACAGAGCCTAACAGAGCCTAGAGTTTAGGGGCTTAGGACCTCCCACAATGTCGCGCGCGGGAGTCCCAGCGCCCCCTAGAAGCCCCCAAAGCCTTGAATCCGGCAACCCTCTCTAACATCAAACCCCTAAACCCAAAAACCCCAAAACCCCAACCCTAAACCCTAAACCCCAAAAACCTAAACCCTAAACCCGAAAAACCCTAAACCCCAAACCCCAAGCCCGAAACCCGAAACCCGAAGCCCCAAACCCTAAACCCAAAAGACCCTAAGATTCCGGGGAACGCCCTGAGGGCATCGCATGCCGATGCCCGCTTCCCAGTCTGCTTGTGCCTGCAGAGGACGCCATGGTCAGGGTACGGTTACTTGCCGGCATAAGCGCTTTAGGGGGTTTTGGGTTTAGGGTTTAGGGTTGTAGTAGGGTTATAGGGTTTAGGGTTTAGGGCTTTTACGGTTAAGCAATTCGGGTTTCGGGCTTACATCTGAGCTGTGAACTGCTTGGTAGCCCAGTGACCATGTTGTACTAAAGGTGCCCCTTTTGGGAGTCGGTTGCCTTTTATACGAGAACGTAGAACCCCCAAAAAGGAGGCAAAAGGGTACTACTGGGCTACCCTAAACCCAAAACCCTAAACCCTGAACCCTGAACCCTGAACCCTTAAATCGCACACCCTAGCTACCAAGACTGTTGGGGCCTTGGCCAGGTCTCCGGCTTTGAATGCCTCATTGCCCGACCTGGCCGGAAGAAACTCGCCGGGAGCTTTAGGGTGGGTTTAGGGTTTAGGGTTTAGGGTTTAGGGTTTAGGGTTTAGGGTTTAGGGTTTAGGGTTTAGGGTTTAGGGTTTAGGGTTTAGGGTTTAGGGTTTAGGGTTTAGGGTTTAGGGTTTAGGGTAGACCGGTTTGGGGTTTGGGGCTTCGGGGGGGCGGGGGGGGGTTAGGGTTCAGGGTTTCGGGTTTAGGGTCTCAGGGCTAAGGCTCTAAAGCTCCCACGTCGTGCCTAACTTTAGGGGGACTCAGGGTTAAGGCTCTTCGGGTCCACGGAGTGTGCCTTACGAGCTCAGTGAGCTCAGACCCCTGACAACCGGACTTCAAACTTGGGATCTCGGCTCGCAAGTCTACGACTCATCTGCCCCCCAAAAAGCCTGAAAACCCTGAGAAGCCCTAAAAGCCCTGAAGCCCTAAAATCCCTAAAACCCTACATACATCCTAAACCCTAGGGCCCAAAACCCGAAAAACCCCCCAAAACAAACCCTAAAGCCCATCCTAAACCCTACAACCTGAGGCACATCCTAAACCTCAAACTTTGGATGTTCACCCTTATACTAACAGCCTTTAACAGGCGTTATAATCAGAATAGTTTGTCACTATGATCCCCATTGAGGACTGCTTAAAAGGGGGGACATCCCAGCCAAAAAACCCATGAAGCTTCCTGTAAACCCTCAACCCTCAACCCTCAACCCTCAACCCTAAACCCTAACTCAACACCCAACTCGCCAGCGTGGCTTCTTGAGTG